TTGCTCAGGAGGCAAAGGTGGCTCCATTCTTGCGCGCGTTCCGACAGCGGACGCGTGGTCGAGGACACGTGAACCACGTCTGAGGACTGGGTTTGCGCCCTTACCGCCGTCGCTCGCACCAGATAACTGGGAGCGACCCATGGAGGGCTGTGCTCGAAAGGGCGAGTGTGAAACAGCCGGAAGAGGCTGATCCGCACCGCGGAGCATGGAGTCCAAGGATGAAGGACGAGTGGGAGCCGGGCCCGTGCATGGGGACGACAAAGTGCCAGCGGATGGAGCCGCGCACCGTGTCGCCGCGTGTGGTCGCGACAGCGCCATGACATCGCGTCCCACCCATCGTTGTGGCGGAAGCGGGATGAGTTGGGCCTGGCCGGAGCCAGTGCGCAAATGGAGCGCACCCTTACAGCTGGCCGTGTAACATGACAGACTGCGGGAACATGCATATGTGTCGCAGTGCTTGGTGTGGGGAACATGTGTGAGGATTTGGCAGAGGATTCTGCAGAGGACTGTATGATCGTGCTCTCAATTATTTCAAAACCAAAATCATTCACAGAGTTAACATTACAGTCATAAGCACACACATTCCTCCAAACGAGTCGTTTTCGTGGTTGTTTTCTGCGAGGTTGCTGCGCCTGTGACTGCCAAGACGGCGTCTGCTGGCTCTTTCGGAACCATTGGCTGCCAACTCCCTGGTCCCGCTGAGGTGGAGCCGAAGAGGGAGGCCGGCTCAGCGGGGCGGGCAGTGCAGCTGGGCGCCTGAAGATTCTGCGCTGTTCATCCCATCCTATGGAGGAAGGGCCGGAGTGAGAGGCAGACCGGGGGTGGACCAGGTCTCGCACCGTGGCTGATAGTTCAGCCGCCCTCTGAGCCCTCTTGATGACGCTCGTAAGATGGGGACCAAACAGAACGTCAGAGGTGATGGGGCCTTCCAGCATCTCCCTGTGCAGGTGATCAGGAATGGAGGGCAGGGCCTTGAGCACAAGGCCCGCTGGATAAGGGTCTGCCAGGCAGCAATGCAAGCAGAACCGGTGAGTACAACAGCGCACAGATTGAGAATGGCACCAGCAGTTTTAATAATGATGGTTTTTGACTCGTCAGGAACATCAAGCTCTTCCACCATTTTGGAAACGCCAAAGGCAAGAAGGGCGATGTTATTTCCTGCAGCGCCGGTCTGGAAGGCGCACTGGTGTGCATGATCGGTCAGCCGCGTCAGCAGCTGGTCATGCTTAGAAGCTGGAACTGCTCGCGGGCCAGCGAGGCCAAGTCCGGCTCCAGTGGAGGAACGGATGGCCAGCCCAGGTCGGAGAAGCCCTTGACCTTGGTAATGGGCGCATATGTGGAAATTGGCGCCTTAAGCCTAGCAGGCTCGGAGAAGGTGGCGAACCAGCAGCTCATGGCAGCGGGGAAACGCGGCCAGACGGGGTCTGGACAGCGCGTCTGTGTTGACCCGAAAATTCCTGCCAAATCATCTGCCTCAGGCGGAGCCGGTTCTGGAACGGCTAGCCCCTTGCGGACCGCGGCCGCGGAGATGATGGCGGGCAGCTCCTGGAGCAGTGCTCTAACTGCTGGCAGGGAGGAGCTAGAAGCCATTGGGGCAGGAGGACCCGCTGAGCGAGGCTCGTCGACCTCCGTGTTGTACAGGGGGGAAAAAGGGCTATGGCAGCCAACCTCGTCGTGCTCCTCACTGTCGATGACATCGTCCAGTCGGGAGGAGCCAGTCGGCTCCTGACCGACGATGAAGAACTGTAAGACCTCGTCCAGCGAGTACGTGCCAGCCACCGGAATTTCCTCGTTGGTGGTGGGGGTGAAACACTCGACCCGGCGGACCTTTTCAGCCACGGGCAGAGCGGCTCAAAACGGGCACGAGGCCTGGGGGGTCAAGGCCAGGCCAGCGTGATGAGCCCTGAGACAGACCTCACACTTGGCGTGCAGGTCGCCGCTGGAGATGGAGCCCGTCTGGCAGGCCGGGCAAGTCCTGGCGTCGCTGGACATGGCTGGTGAGTTGAATGTTGTTTCTTCGATAATTTGCTCTTTAAAGAAAGCTCTTAAGCTTGACTTGAAGAGATAACGGAGGCGAACAGTGGAGTCGCTCCACTTATATACCCACAAGGGGTGCCCATCATTGGTGGGCGTACATTTAAGCTCTTCATGATTGACTGATGCTGAGATCATCCTTCCAATAGCAGCTAGCTTAAGGGCTAAGACTAGACGAAATAGAACTTTGACGTACACGAGCGACCGGTACCGGCTGCTGTCACCTGTTGTGAGCAGCTCTCTGCTGTCTGAGGGTAGGCTCCGCCCACAACACCGCGGCTGCTGTGGCTACCAGTGTTTTCTTTACTGTGGGAAACGGGTACTAATGGCTCTTTGATGGGAACAGGTTGCCAACCCCTGGTCTATGTCTATGCGAGGACAATAAAGTTTTGAGGTTTTACAATTACTTCTGGGGGCACAGTTGCAATGGCATGCGCACTGCGTTGCCCTAGCGCCAATTACAAACAGAAAAGGCGGACAGGGACACAGGGCCAACATTACCAGTAATCAAAGATGTACCCGTTACATTTAAATCGGATGTCTGGGCTAATTTCGGTTTTGGGATCCTGGATGTGAATCACTTAACACAGTATTTGTTTACTGTTTTTAAGTTCAGTAATATTCTATCTTAAAGCTGCTCTACCGAAAACATTATTTCTTATATTATTTAAGTTATTATAGGCAGCACACTTTAAACAGTATTGCTCACTATAGTGAATAGATGAATGTTCTGTTTTTCAGGGATTTCAAAATCAAAAAGAAATTGAAAACTATTCTACTGCTTTTATTAAGTAATGAAAATTTTTGTGTGAAGAATCGTGATGCATTTCAGACTCAAATCGAATCGTTAGGCAGATAATCGGAATCGGATCGTGAGGCAGGTAGAGATGCACACCACTAATATACACACATATACATATATATATAAATACATGTACACACACACACACACACACACACACACACACACACACACACACATATATATATATATATGTGTGTATATATGTGCATATATATATATATGTATATATATATATATATATATACACATATATACACACATATATATACATATATACAGTATATACACACACACACACACACACACACACACACACACATATATATATATATACATACATATATATATATATATATATATATATATATATATATATATATATACACACACACATATATATATATATACATACACACACACACACACACACATATATATATATATATATACATATATACACACATATATATACATATATACACACACACACACATATATATACATACACAGAGAGAGAGAGAGAGAGAGAGAGAGAGAGAGAGAGAGAGAGAGAGAGAGAGATCTGTCCTTTTGTGGCATCCTGACTGAGAAAAGAAGTAGATGAATAGTTTCATGTATAATATGTGCGTGGTGTGTACGTTTTGTCATTAAGAGTGTAAACCCAATTCAGATCATTTCTGATTTTACATTTTGATGCCAACATCAGCCGTTCGTTTTAGTTGGCCAATAATATCAGACATCCTTATACTCCTCACAGCGAGACCAATGCAAACCAAGACTTTAGTTCCAACCCTCCACCACCATGTGACTCTAATTTGCATATTTAATTATCCGTCTTTATTGTTTTAAACTTTACCAAGCATCCCAACTGAACACAAGGTTTTATTCTAACACTGTGGCCTGGCTCTTAGATGGATTCTTTACCTGCCTGACAGAAAAACAAAGACCAGCTGGAAAGGATTGAAGAATGTTGGGCTTGGAGACCATCTCCAGCCAACTGTCTGAGCCAAAACCACCATTCCACGTGAGCATGAAAGTCATTTGAACTTTTGAGTCGGTTCCAGGCTGACTGATTCAGACTCTGTCTGATGGAGCAGAATAAAAGTCCAGTTCTTGGCACCAACAAAGAGGCCCATCAAACAAGGCCAAACTGGACCAGAGCAAGAATGGCATGATGATGCAACAGAGCTAGGAATTATCAGGGGCTGCTTCACTTGGCTCGTGGCGGACTGATGGTATGGTATTAACCAGTATGCAGTATAAAACCGGTGGTGAGGAACACAATAGGAATATTGCAGTGCGAGCAGACAAATCGCTCTCAGCCAAGTCTTTATGATTTCACTATTACGTGCACATTGTTTCACTCTGCCGTAGCTCTTTTATGTTCACTCTAAAATGGAATCTCTTTGAAAACACAGATGCGTGTAATTGGTAAATCATGGGGGTGACTTTGATAGGAAAAACATTTTGATAGCACCCTGAGTTCCACATTTACTGTAATATGAACACTTCCTTTAACAGACGGTAAAACTTAGTTGGTTGCATGTGTGCTATGACATTTTCAAGAGCCTAAGCACTTAAAGCTGTAAAATTATGTTGGACTCAAAGGAAAAAAAGATCTCAGCAGACAAAACATCCAACTGTACCTTCCTAATAAATATTCTAATGATGAAATAAAGATTAAACAATTTTCACGAGTCTTTTCATCTAAATGCCACAGCTTGCTCAGAGCATCAGCGTGCAGACACGTGTCAATAGCTAATATTGTTAAGTTTTAGGCCACGTGCCAAGATAGTGTGATGATGAAAGCATTATCCGCCGAGCGCCAGGCTTACGCAGCTCTGCTTGTTTCTTTGCCACTCGCTTTGGGTGGTCTGAAGACATTGTGTCCGTAAGCCGGATGAAGAGGAATGTTGTCGGGAATTTGCTCCGGATAAAAGCTCTTGTAGTGCAACGCACCTGACACAAAGTATTTTTAACTGAGATGAGTCAGGCCGGGGATTCAACGTGTCAGTCGATGAATAAACATTCAATTTCATCTGCTGCATAAAACCCAGCAAATCACTGTCACGAGCCCGAGCTACGCCGCTCACTCACCCTCTGTGGGCTCTAATGGAGGTGTTAGGGTGAAAAGGCACCCATGAGATATTCTGTCACTCACCTCCCTGTGGCTGCTCCTCTCCAGCCTCCGTGTCATTGTCTGGAAGAGGGGATACGAGAAGGTGTTAAACAATGGTGGTTCGTAACACACAACCTCATCACAGCTCGATGGTGATGCTGGGTGCACGGCAATTCAAAACCATCCTGCTCTAAGCAAACAACTCAACCAGAAACCGCTGTTCTCACGTGTCACGACGCTCATTGTTAAAATTCTTTCACCTCTGATCCAAAACTCCCACAACCCTTGAAACTTCTTCCATTTCCCCACCAGATGGCCTTGGATCCGGAGGGTTATTACACCAAAACGACTACGGGCGTGTGTTTAAAGACACATTCCTTTCCAATTAAATCCATACCAGCAGATCCAGCATAAATGACACAAACCGCCTATTTCCCTAAATTACAGGATCTAGAGGCCGGCACTGAGCTCTGTAGAAAAGCCCTTTGATTTCCACCTCTTTTCATTCTTTTTGTGTGAGGCCAGCAGAGAGGTGTTTCTGGATGGATGAGCTGAGTTGCACCGTGGGTGGGGGGGGCTGCTAACAGCTCATGGTTCCCACATACAAACACCCATTCACAGACACTCAGATAGCCCAGCGTGCCTCAGGGTGCTTTGGGACATGCCACCTAAACCGTAGACACATGTGCCTGCTTTTAGTGTGCACGCTTCAGATGAATGGAAGCACCGTTTGTGATGTCATATATATGTAACTGCCTGAGTCTGAAATGATTGCAGAGTAGTTAACAAGCAAAGCAACCCGTTTGCTTTGATGAAAGGCTGCTGTCATCCGTTCTGTAGTGTAATCATCAGGCCTCCCTGCGGCCTCTGCGACAGGCTGTTCTGTTGTGTAACACTGAAGAAAAGGGTGCAGTGCATTAATCTGACCCTGCTTGGGGAAACAAGGGACGGCCAGCTGATACAGTTACAACAGCACACAGATGGAAACAGGAAGTGTTTCAACTACTGTCAGCTGCAGCATTGTTGCAACAGTTGAACACACAGGACATGTTTGTGACTGTGGCGTGAGTGACCTTTTCCAGTAGAGCTGGGGTCTAAGAGGCAAAACTTGATATTAAAACTATTCCTTTATCGCATCAGGAGGGGAATATGAAAGGCCCTTATTAAATCTTTGGTCTGTGATGTTTGTATAGCACCTTCTAGAGTTCTACAACCCCCCAAGGCGCTTCACAACACAGTCGTGCACCCCTTCACACACACACATTCACACCCTGTTAAAGATGAGCTACAATAAAGACATAGCTGCCCTGGGGCGCCCTGATGGAGGCAAGGCCTGCCGAGCACTGGCGCCACCTGTCTCGCCAAGGACACATCAGCAGCATTTTCAGACAGTGGCCGGCATCGATCCTACAACTCTTCGATTAGTGGACAACACTCTACCTCCTGAGCTACTTGTTTTCCACCTCTAGAGGGTGTCGTGAGAAAAAACTCTAGTTTCTGCTTTAACCTATGACCCCAAGAAACCCCAGAATAAAAGCTGTATGTGCTTCTCTGTTTCTGATGAGTTTTCATACAAAAGTAACAGGTCACATACAGCCTGGTTGAGTTACTGTAGTACTCTTGGTAATTCATGTGTTTTCATGTGTATATAATGTCATAATTCTGTGGGGTGACAGAGAAAATCTCAGCCGTCCAGTAGGAGGTCGGGGTAGAGCTGCTCCTCCTCTGCAACAAAAGGAGTCAGTTGCCTCCTATCTCCCACAGGGATGAAGATGCCTGGGAAGAACCAGAACTAGCTGGAGGGATTAGATAGCCTCTCTGGGCTGGGAAAGACCGGGGATCACCTAGAGGGAGCTGGGGAGTGTCACTAGAGAAGGTGATGTCGGAGTTTCCCTCCTGGACTTGTTGCCTCCATGATCCCACCTTAGATAAGTGAAAGAAAATAAGTGGATGAATGTGTTTCCTCAATCTGTAGTAGAAGACTGTTGGCTTTAGTAGTAAACAGCCTCTATGTCGCTGGAATAAACGCCTCGCTCCAAGGCCTCTATTCTTGTCATCACAAAAGAAATGTCCACTTTTAAAACAAAATTAAAAAGAATATATTGAATAATATGTGAGGCTTAGCTGTCATGGCCACCTTGTAAATGTCACTAACGGCAAAGATCCATTTTTAAAACGTCACACGAGTAGCAGAACTGCTTGTAAACAACGTTGAGGTATTTTATACGGAACAGCAGGGAAAGCCTGTCAGCAGCCGTGTCAAGCCAGCGGCGGCCATGTTGATAAGCATGCAGCCAGGATGTTTCCTACACATCTGTTTTGAGCACAAACATGAACGAATCCTCACGTCTGCCCAAGCTGATGGTGCTTTCTCACAATCACTTCACTAACACGCCGTGGTCTAGTCATTTCCCGACCCCGAGGAATAGCTCTGTGAAACCAACGCAGACTTCATTTTCGCTCCTCGCAGGGTTCCTGCAGCCCTTCATATCCTCCGTCAACAAACTACACGCGTGTGATAAAAGCAAGTGCATTCCACAGCTTTTCCTCTTACACCACAGTGGGGTAGGCGGGGCTTTTGACTGTAGACATTTTGGGGTGTAGATGTGTGATGAGATGAAAGGGAAGACAGTATGGAGTGTATTAAAAAGCATGTAAATAAATGTCAATTGGAAAGTGGGTGAAACGCTTGGAGAGAACGCAGCAGCCTCTGCAGATCTGTGGGCTGTTACTGTTGTCAGCACCGTGGCTGATTGAGGAGGAGAGGAGATGGAGCCCAGCTTGTGGGCAGCCACCCGCATCATATTAGTAGAGGAGTGTACCCAGAATCAATTTCTACATGCTTTTACTCTCTGACTGCAACCACAGCTGCCTGACTGCTTTCATACGTGCAAACAGTACGTGACAAGGCACGCATGTGGTCAGACATGACAATACATAATAAAATCACACTATTAAATTAATTTATTGAGTTTCCTGTGAAAATCAATTAAGGTTTGCTTGAAAAATACAACCATGGCGCCTCCTTCGTGTCCGATGATTTAATTTCTTCAAACAGCACACACACTGCTGGTTCTTGATAGCAAAGCACCTCAGAGATGTGTGAAGTGCAATGAATAGGTCATTATATCACCGTTAACGAGCTTAGTTGCCAAGGTGGGTAACGGATAGCGAATGGTGCTGCACAGGTAAAAGATGGTGGCGCTGCGAAGGAGATTGTTTTTGCATATTTTAATCTCCGAGAGGCCTTGGGACTTCAAATGCATGACGTGATTCTCGAGCAGGTGCTTCATAAAAGCTCTTTGTCTGTCAAACAGCCTGCTTGAACACAAAAGGACACAAAGGGAAGTGGAAAATGGTTTAGTCCCTTCTGATAAACAACGAGTAGTCCACAATGCTCATGCTTTTGGTTTGTGATTACACAGAATGGTAAACGGCTTGTATTTGTATGACTCCTTCTTAAGCCTAGGGCACACCGGAGATAGACGCGCCACGCCGCCATTTTAAATAGAACCCATCAGAGATAATAAGAGTGGCTACATGGGGAACGCCACGCCGCGTGCCAGAAGCACCGCGGTGCTGAGGATAGGCGCCAGTTCTACCTCAAGCGCCGCGGCTGTTTACAACATTATGGGGTACTTTACGGCAGAAACCCAACCTCAGTTTTGATAACTTTGAAGTACTATTGATCTTAAAACATTTAAAACTAACCCTAACCCTTTACTAAAAGCTAACAAAGAGAATACTTACCCATTTTTAACGAATTAGTCTCACAAAACATAACAGCAAGTATAAACAAGTCACTTCCCACTTCCTGTTCTCAAGTCCCGCGTGATGTTGTGACCATCGCGCGACTTTCCAAGAAGTTCTCAGTGGTGCGGCGCGTCCTGTGTAACCACCTGGCTTCTCAAAACTGCGGGCGCAACGCGGCGCATCTGCCTCCGGCGTGCCCCAGGCTTTAGGGTTCTACAACCCCCCAAGGCGCTTCACAGCACAATTAGTCATTCACCCATTCACACACATATTCACACGCTGGTGGGGATGAGCTACGATGTAGCCACAGCTGCCCTGGGGAGCGCTGACACGCACAGGCGCCACCGGTCCCTCCGACTAACACCAGCAGGCAAGGTGGGTGAAGCGTTTTGGCCAAGGACACAACGGCAGGATTCTCTGGTGGGAGAAACCTTCCAATTACTGGAAAACCCACTCTACCTCTTGAGCTACTGCTGTTGTGCCCTTGGGCTAGACACCTAACCCTAATAATGAAGAGACACAAACTATGTTTTTGTCTGTGAAGCCCTTTGGGACGTGTCTGTGAAAAGTGCCGCATAAATAAACCTCGTCTTCTTAGACCTGGCTCTGGGTGTCTGAAATCTGTTCAGGGTCCAATGAACTCTCCGTACAACCAAGCCGTTCTGAGGTAAAACACCCTGCTCAGTGTCTCAGTCACTGGTCACGGGTCTTCCAACAAGATGACTTAAAACACCCAAGAAACCGGGCTAGCCTGAAGTTTCCTTCTTGGAGACATGATCAAAATCATATTGGGCATCTGGAGCAGAAACATGTGGAGGAGAAACCCTTCAGACCTGAAACAGCAGCGTGGGTCAGCATACCTGTCGACAGGTGCTGATTTAGACTAGTTGCATTTCTGTTAATGTTTAAGTATTCTTATGTTGTCTGATTCCAGTTATGTCAGTGACATTTTTGGGGATTTTAATCTTTAATAGAACAACACCAACTATTAAAAGTCCCAATCACACGTTTTCATACCAGCTGTGGAAACTTCCATCCTCATGATGATGCAGTTACCTGTTTGGTGTGGCTGCTGAGTCTGTTAACACGTGTGCATGGATATCTTTTTTTCAGCTTCCTCTCTCTGCAGACAGTTTGGCTTGCTCATACTGACAGCTTGTGGAAATGCACATTGTAATAAAGCAATTTCCTGTATGCAAATATCCTGTTTACACGTTCTTTCTCCAGTCATTGTCACTTGACAGATTGCTTGAAAATGAGGAAAGCAGCTATACAATGAAAAATGACTTCAGAATTACAACTAATCTTAGCTGAAATGAAAGCGAGGGAGCGCGAGATCCTGAATTTTTTGTTTGCTTTCCTGTGACCACACACATGCACCCACATAGCAAGCAGACCAAGGACAGCAATAACAACAGCTCTATAGCAGCTTGCTGATGGAAGAGGTGACGGAGAAACTCCATCCTTGATGCAATAAGAAAGAATGATAGAAAGCAGAGGAATAAGGTAATAGGTGAGGGAACAAGGAGGATGCATAAGTGAGGGTAAGGGAGGAGAGGGCGAGAAAATGGGTACGGCAGATTTAACAGAGTTATTGAAAGCGTGTTTGCTGCAGAAGACAGAATGATCTCCAGCCTCCGTGTGTGGCTTTCGGTGTTGCTGCAAGATCTACGCGACTGTCTTCCCCTGGCAGCAAGGATGATGAGATGTGCTGAAAGTGCTCGAGCACACCTGCAGAGCTAATTCACAGCCTCTGATTCACTACTGCCATTGTGCACAGGCTAAATGCAAGTCTTTCCCACTACGGGGCTGTGCATTACCCACATGGTGCAATCATACCAATCAGCATTTCTTTCTTTATCCTATACCTTTCCCGTACTGCTGAAAACACATTTGCATAGTGAAGCCCGGCTGGATTCAACTCTACTTTCACAGGGTGGCTAATTTTATCTTTCAGTTCTTTTTCTTTTACTGAATAACTCAGAAGAGCTTTAGTTTTCATAGCGAATGTGGTAAATGCTTTGATCTTGTGCACGAGGTGGAAGATTAGAACAGGTGTAGGTGAGAGTGCTGTAAGGTGTCTGCCTCACTCCCGACATTGATCCTGAGTGGAAAGTCACGCTTGCTTTTCCTCTCCAGCCCACACATGCTAACGGAGCAGTGATAAGGGTTGCTCTGTCCCCCAGGGGTCAAAGGACAAACGACTGCTTAGACACTTGGAAAGAAGAGTCCTTGCATTAAGCTAAACATGTTCCAGGGTGTAGAAGTTGTCACTGTCTGAATTTAGCAGCTTGCTGCATCGCTGTAAACTATTATTTTTATGGAATTAACAGAAAAACCCTTAAAGCTACCCTGATTGCTCTTTGTACACACACACACACACACACACACACACACAGACGCACGCACGCACGCACACACACACACACACACACACACACACGCACGCACGCACGCACGCACACACACACACACACACACACACACACACACACACCAGAGTCTGTCCCCAGTTATGGGTAGATATGGAGCATTTATCCGGTGACTAGACTTTTAAATGGCGAGAGAGATAACTGGAGAACAACAGCTCCAGATTCTCATCTCAAAACACTAATATGAAGAGACGGGCGCTGGGTGCACGAGGGCAGGCAGGCATAATTAAGGTCTCTCCTCAGAATGTAATCTTCCAGGCAAGAGCCTGGGTGGAGGGGCGGGGGGATGACGGGAGAGCAGGGAGAACAAAGCACTCTCCATCTGGGAACAGCGAGATGAAGGCCTGTGAGTCGGTATTCCGTTGGGGAGGTGAAGAGGGAAAAGGGAGGTAAATGGGAGGTAATGCTAGGCTGGTGAAGCCAGCCAGCCTCTTTCAGCTCCCCAGCTATTCGGCTCAGTCCTCTGTGGAGCCCCCATCAGAGCTGGTGACTGCTCCTGGTCTCAGAGAAAAGATGATGGCATGAAAGGGAGGAGGGAATTGAGAGAGGGACAGAGAGGAGAGTGGGTGTAGAAGATAATGGATGTTTGTTTATTTCACACAGAATTGAAGAGAAGTAGTCAGGGATGAAATGTAGCTGTACGCACGCACGCACGCACGCACGCACGCACACACACACACACACACACACACACACACACACACACACACACACATTCCTGAATGTTGTCAGTGTGTTCAGGAGACATTTGAGTCATTATTACAGTAAATTAAATCTGACATTAAAGCCTCATCAGAATTTTAAAAAGCACCCCAAAGATCAGCTCGCAGATACAAGAATTCAAATCACATTAAAGCCTTTTGCAGAGAAGCTGACACTCGATTTTACAACTGCCAGCATAAATTCTCACTGCATTCCTTGTGTTTACATTTGAAATTGTCACCCAATCCCGGCAGGTTCTCACACTGCTTTGAAAAATTGGAAATAACTCAGAGTGAATATTAGTCGAGCTCAAACGGACAGAAACAAGTTTGCTGGAATCCCATGATATAAAAATCTCACAGCTGCCATCTCGAGCATCGATAAATGGTTCAGCTCAAAGCAAAACAACAAAAATAAGACAGTTAACAGTGCTTAGGTTAGTTCACATGAAGAAAAGAGTCGTACCTTGGAAAATGGCAGCCATTTTTTTCTTGTAGATGGTGAAATCAGTCTCGAGGAAGACACAGAAAATTACCCGTGTGATCTGCAAAGGAATAAAACTGAAATTCAGACACAATGCAAAAAATGTCTTATTTACCCACAGTGAAAATATCGGTAACACTTTAGGGAACACAAATTATTATTAATGGTTAATTTGTGTTCCCTAAACTCAAGTGTTACCAAAATATTTTCAAATGTGAAAAAAACTTATTTGTGATGCAGAAGATTTCAATAAGTGCCGAGTTCTCGCACGATCTAGTCATAATAATAGAGTCTTAAACTTCCTTTTCTTCATTATTAATGCTAAATAATCATTTGATCACTTTGCTCATTATAAATGTATTTTAATCAAATGAATTATTATTATGCTTTGGGTAATCATAATGAACTATAATGAATCAATACTTAATTAAATAATGTTTTGAAGATGTTAGTGATGACCTTCACACTCGCTCACACAGGTCTGGATTCACAGTAACTCCAAAACACATTTGCTCTGACACACAAGTTTGCTTTGGGAAGAGAAGTGGTTTTGGTAAGTTAGTCAGTTCGAGTTGGACAACGAGAGAGAGCGGACGTGCTGAACAAACGCTAACGGGGAACTGAGCCAACGGCTCTTTTCTTCCCCCCACGCTATTTCTATCAAGCCAGACAGGATAGCTGAAATGCAACCAGCTAACGTAGACTCGTCCAGAGTCTTTGATTTCTGAGTTAATTTAAACTTGAGAAAGCGCATCTGCTAAACGCTTCAGCAACGTGTACCGAGGTCAACTCTGGACTGGACCGTCAGCAAACCTTCGTCTTCTCTGCCAGCCAAGGTGTCACCTGGTGAAACATCCTCCTGTGAGGTCCGGATCTAAAAGAGGGTCGTAAGATCGGTGAGGCAGAACACAATAGATAGCGTTCTGATGCAGTTTTTCTAATAAGAACTAAGTTTAATTCAAACCATCACTTTTCACTCAGATTCACCTTTTCTCTCCCTGAAGCAATCTCATACACATGCATGCACGCATTCATAATTCCATCATCCTCAATCTTAGCGTAAATACAGTAAGATTGTTATTCACGCTGGCGGTAACGACACCCGGTTACGCCAATCGGAGGTCACTAAAATTAATGTTGCTTCGGTGTGTAAGTTTGCCAAAACAATGTCAGATTCCGTAATTTTCTCTGGCCCCCTGCCTGATCGGACCAGTGACGACATGTTTAGCCGCATGCTGTCCTTCAACCGCTGGCTGTCTAGGTGGTGTCCTGAAAACAACGTGGGCTACATTGATAATTGGAAAACTTTTTGGGGAAAATCTGGTCTGATGCGGAGAGACGGCATCCATCCCTCTTTGGATGGTGCAGCTCTTCTTTCTAGGAATATGGCCAGTTTTATTAGTCCTCCATGACAACCCAGGGTCCAGACCAGGAAGCAGAGTCGTAGTTTAACCCACCCCTCTGCAGCTTCTGTACTGTTACCCACCCACTACCCCATAGAGACAGTGTCCTGCCCACGGCCAAAACCACACAGATTAAATATCAGGCTTAATAAAGCAAATCATGGAAATCTCAAAAATATTACAACAAATTCAACTGAGCAGAAAACTAGAAAAATTAAATGTGGGTTGTTGAACATTAGATCCATTTTTTCTAAGACTTTGTTAGTTAATGACTTGATTTGTGATAATCAGATCTCTTTGCTCTCTCTCACAGAATCCTGGCTGCAGCAAGAGGACTATGTTAGCTTAAACGAGTCGACTCCTTCAACTTATTTAAATCATCATATTGCTCGAAGTACAGGGCGAGGAGGAGGAGTGGCAACCATTTTTCATTTGGACTTATTAATCAGTCCCTTACAGATTCATAGCTACAGTTCGTTCGAACATCTTATTCTTAGTTTTCCTAATCCAGATTGCAAAACTGTAAAACCACTCTTGTTTGTAGTTTTCTATCGTCCACCAGGCCCTTACTCTGAGTTTTTGGATCAGATCTCTGATTTTTTATCTGATTTGGTGCTAAATACTGATAAGGTCATTGTAGTGGGGGAATTCAACATTCATGTGGACATTGAAAATGATAGCCTCAATGTAGCCTTTAGTAATATCTTAGACTCATTTGGTTTTACTCAAAGAATACATAGCTCCACCCACTCCTGCCATCATACATTGGACCTTGTTCTGACTTATGGCATTGAGTGTGAGGAAATAACAATCTTTCCACATAATCCAGTCCTCGCGGGCCACTTTCTGATAACCTTTGAGTTTTTTATAACTGAGTTCTCGAGACACGAAAGTAAATTTCATTATAGTCGGTCTCTATCTGACAACGCAGTTGCATCTTTTAAATCAACTGTTCCATCTTTACTGTCCTCAGCATCTCAGAGGCATGTAGCAGAGGGCAATATTTTCAGTTCTAGCCCCTCACAAATTGATGCCTTAGTTCATCATGTTAATTCCTCTTTACGTGTGGCATTAGATGATGTTGCCCCTTTAAAAAAGAAGGTAATTAGGGACAGGAAGTTGGCTCCCTGGTTAAACTCTCATTTACGAGCCTTAAAACAAAACTCTAGGAAATTGGAGAGAACATGGCGCTCTACGCACCATGAGGAGGCCTACCTATCCTGGGAAAATAGTCTTGTGCTTTATAAAAATAAGCTTCAACAAACTAGAACTGCTTATTTTTCAGCATTAATTGAGGAGAATAAGCATAATCCAAAATTTCTTTTCAGTACAGTTGTTAAACTTACACAGAATCGTAGCTCTGAGCCATCTATTCCCTTAGCCCTCAGCAGCAATGACTTCATGGGATTTTTTTAACAAGTAAAATTAATTCTATTAGAAACAAAATCTTTAGCATCCTCCCTAATGCGATTTCTTCTTCCTCAGTAAGTGAGGCAGCTTCAGAGGTGACTCTAGAACCTCATCTGTGCTTGAACCGTTTTGATCCAGTTGAGCTTTCAGAGTTATCAAAAATATTAGCTTCATCTAAACCTTCAACTTGCATTTTGGATCCAATCCCAACCAAATTATTTAAAGATGCAATTCCTTTGGTTACTGCCCCCATTCTAGATATAATCAATCTATCCTTAGTAAATGGGTATGTACCACAGGATTTTAAGGTGGCTGTAATCAAACCTTCACTTAAGAAGCCTTCTCTGGATCCAGATGACCCAATGAATTATAGACCAATATCTAACCTTCCATTTTTATCCAAAGTCCTGGAGAAAATAGTGGCCATCCAAGTATGTCAGCATTTAAACACTAATGCTCTGTTTGAGGAATTTCAGTCTGGTTTTAGAGAGTATCACAGCACTGAAACTGCATTAGTGAGAGTTACAAATGATATTCTCATGGCCTCAGATAAGAATCTTGTGTCTGTTCTAGTCTTGTTAGATCTCAGTGCTGCCTTTGACACAGTTGATCACAATGTTCTTTTAGAAAGACTTGAACATGTTGTAGGGATCAAAGGAACAGCGCTAGGCTGGTTTAAATCCTACCTGTCTGACAGATTTCATTTTGTAAATGTACATGAAAAATCTTCTTCATACTCCAGGGTTACTTGCGGAGTACCACAGGGTTCAGTGCTTGGACCAATTCTTTTTACTATATATATGCTCCCAATTGGTAAAATCATTAGACAGCATGGGATAAACTTCCACTGTCATGCTGACGATACCCAGTTATATTTATCCATTAACCCTGACGAACCTAATTGGTTGGGTAGATTACAGGCTTGTCTTGAGGACATAAAAAATTGGATGACTCTTAACTTCTTGCTTTTAAATCAAGACAAGACGGAAGTTCTCATCTTTGGACCAGAAATCCAGAAAAGGAAATTGCTTAGCCAATCACCTGACCTGAATGGCATTACATTAATCTCCGAGAACAAAGCAAGGAACCTTGCTGTTATCTGTGACCAGGACATGTCATTCAAATCCCAGGTTTCACAAGTTTGTTGGATTTCCTTTTTCCACCTTCGGAATATTGCTAAGATTAGAAGCATACTTTTCAGGAGTGATGCTGAAAAACTAGTTCATGCATTTATTACATCAAGACTGGATTACTGTAATTCATTACTGTCAGGAAGTCCACAGAATGTAGTTAAAAGTCTTCAGCTTGTCCAAAATGCTGCAGCTAGAGTTCTGATGAGAATTAAAAAGAGAGATCATATCTCTCCTGTCTTAGCTTCCCTACATTGGCTACCTGTTAAATTCAGAATAGATTTTAAGATCCTTCTTCTCACATATAAAGCTCTTAATAATCAAGCTCCATCATACATCAGTGATCTTCGCTCTCAGACTGCAGGTCTACTGGTGGTTCCAAGAATATCTAAACTTAGGATGGGAGGCAGATCTTTTAGTTATCAGGCTCCTCTCCTGTGGAACCAGCTCCCAGCTTTAGTCCGTGAGGCAGACATTTTGTCTACTTTTAAGAATAGGCTTAAAACATTTTTATTTGATAGGGCCTATAGTTAAAATCTGATGTTAGCCTAAATCTGGACAAGTGGGGGAGTAGAGGGAGGTGGAGTGTACAGGCGGTAAAGACGGCTCTCCATTGCCCTGCCTCCAACATGCCTACATCTAAATAGGATAGATTATCCAGAGTTATCTCTGTAGTTATGCTGCTATAGGCTTAGACTGCTGGAGGACACACTGACCACTTTTCACACTCTACTGCTTTCTTCTACAATCTGCTCTTTAACTGTATTATTTTCTGCTATTTCAGCTGTTAACTTTATTTTCTCTCTAAGTGTTTTTCTCCCCAGAAGAAGCTACAATGACGTTCTGCTCAGCTGTGGTGGCCTCATGGAGGGGGCCATCGACTAGCACACTGCTGCTAACCACTAATACATTCTCCCTCTCCTGATAATAACTTTTTGTTTCCTTGACATCGGATGTGCTACTACTAGTTTACCTATTTAATTATAGATCCACTAGGATAAATACAATAAAGTTTATCTTTCACCAAATACAATATTTACTAAGACATCACAATATAACTATAGACACATTACTTGTCTGTGTGTGTGTGTGTGTGTGTGTGTGTGTGTGTGTGTGTG